GTGGCCACTTCCTGTAAAGTACAAGCATCAGTATGATTGTGTCTATTATAATCAATATATACCACTGCTGTTCTGACAAGCTCTTTGTTAAATACATGAAGCCTCACATACATCAGCCTTATTTTATTTACCAGCAACATCATGTTTCAAGGTACACGCAATTCTAATTGCTATTTCATTCAATTTTAAGAGTGCACGTACAGCTCTCCCAAAAACCCTCATTTTAGAGCACCAAAGCACAGGAGTTTGAATTTGCCAGCATTCAGATCCACCCTGTCAGAATTATCTGTCATGCCCAGTATCTGTAACAAAGAGAAACGAGGGACTGGAACATGAAGGAGGATAGATTACATCAACATTCATCTGCTTGTTCATCTGTCTGTTATTTTGTTCAAGAGCTGGATTTGCTGCTTAAAGTGTCTTTTTCAAAATGGAATTAAAATCACCAGTATTGTCAGAATGAGAGAAATCATGTATCTTTCACAGACCTGGGCCACATTGATACCAGATTCCTATTTATTAGATCTTGTTAGGCCACAAAGATAAGCACTTATTTATGTAAAAGACATACATGTTTATATAGAAAGAAAGCAGAAGAAAGAGATTCCAGCATCCTTCAGAATTCTGTGACACTGGAGAAGTGACACTGAAATAAAAACAGTTGTAACTGCAAAGGTTGCAGTACACAAAGTCCTTCATAAAGTGATATTTTCTAATTGTGCAAACCAAAACAACTTTTGGGACCATTGAAACTAATGAAACCTGATTTACAATCCATATGGGTCTTGTGGCTGACTGGTTTTTTAAACGAACTAATCTGAAAGCTACAATATGTGTTCTCCTGTTGCTAGGAATTCAAAAACACATATTCAGTTTCCCAAAAAAAGCTTGAAAAATACTTGAATAAAATTTTGTCTGTTACTTGACATTTAAAGCTCTGTTTTTCAGTCATGATTTCTCCTTTAGTAAAGCGGATACTTTATGAATTAGGCATGTTTGTGTTTGAAGAGTTTACACTATCTTTCTACCAGGAGATTTTATGATGTCTAGCAATTACTCTCATGCCAGCCTGCTTTCTTCCTCCTTATTTCCTTCAGTAGAGAATCTCTCTTCTCAGCCATCTGTCTTTAGAAAACGTTCAGGACTTAGTATCTAAATATGTTATATCAATCGGTCAAATAAAATCTTAAGTTTGCAACAAACTATTTGCAACACTTGTGCATAGGGAAGATGACTATACAAAACTCAGTACCTTGAAAAAGTAGCCTAAAAGAACGGAAAGGACAAAGAAATTCTTATACAGCAATAGCATTACTTTGTAGTACTCAAATAACAGACTACTGGATTTCCAGATCTCCAAGTTCCACTACTGCAAAATAAAGACTTCCTAATGTCCCTGGGCTGCTCAGTAGGGAAGTTATTGTTATATTTTACCTATGTTTTGGAACTATTTTCTACAGATGAGGATAATGTCTAAGATCAGGAATGCCTGGGGATCATTCCTGAATCAGAGAAATGAGCACAGTCAAATGTTCCCAACAGCAGATAGAGCAGCAGGAGCACACTGAGGAAAGATATCCAGGTCCACTCCTGTATTTTAATAATGCAGTAAATGCAGAGAGAGGGCTGGCATTGCCCTTATACATTCATTGGACAATAAAACTGTTATTTACTGGTTTCATTTATCTTTAATAAGATTTCTGCTGGCACTGCAGTGCAGCACCAGAATGAAACATGGGCTGTCCTTCAGAATCTTGCGAGTGAGAGTGCTGGCTTCTTCTGGCAGCTCTGAGTGAGGCGCAGAGTGGGCAGAACTGACACTTATTTCATTTAGGTGCATTTAAAAACAATGAGTTACTGAAATATTTCTTGCAATATTTGCTATTACTTGTGAGGTGCAGGACACAAAGATGCACATACATAGATAGTTTAACAAAGCATCCATATATATCCCACTTTTATTATCCACAGGTAGACATCAGCCACATACTCTCATTTTACGCGACTCCAGGGGTGGATGGTATTATTTTCTATTTTATGCTCTGTCCTGGTGAGTTATCACTCACCCTTAGGTGTTTACCTATGGCTGCAGCAGGACACACTTGCAAACACCACACGGTTTGCAGTGAGCCCAATGGAGGCAGTTTTGTACTCTGTGTCCAGAATGAGATGCAGAGCAGGCAGGCTCTATGCTGCAAGAAGCTCAGTGCAGAGAGCCTGCCCTGCAGCAGTAGTGCTCGGAATGATTTGTTGCTCTGCTGCTGCCACTACTGCATACTGGAGATGCTTGTGCTTCCCTTCCACGCTGATACTTTCTTAATGCAAACCACTGTATGGGAACTGCTGAGTCACGGCCTGAACCTCTGATGGATCACCTGAGGCAAGCCATGAGCCAGCCAGAGGAGCACAGGTGAAGGCAATTCTCCTGTGCTGCCAGAAGGGGTGGAACCTGGCTGCACCCCTCCTAGACCTATTTAAGAGCTGGCTACCAGTGGGGAAGGATCTCTTCTAGAGATCCCTCCTTCTGGTGTTTTGTGGGTGAGCCCAGGATAGGGGTAAGCCTTCCATTTATTCTCTTTTGTTACCATAGTCTGCTTTGCCTAACTCTCTTGTTTTTTTTTGTGTTTATAACATCCTAATGTTCTTTGATTATACAACCACATTCATTCTCATGTCTGAAGCAGATCTCTTTCTTATTTTTTATGCCCTATCTCCAGTAACATAATTGTAATGCAGAAAAATGGAAACAGTAATCAGTAGGCACCCAGTCCCAAACATGCTTAATGTCAGTCATAGAGCAGCTGTAACACCTTGGTTTCTATTTCTGAGTTGAACCTCAGAAGGGCTTTAAAAAATGAGCTTCCTCTACCTTCTATTCTTGTTTGCAGAGAGTGTTGTGGGAAGCCTCTGGCTTTTGCTGTTTCAGGAAACAACTTGGCTTTGTTTAATTTTGTAAGTTCCTGTGTTTGAGCCTAAAAACTATATCTTGAGAGTCCTGCAGCCTTCAGATGACCTGAGTATGACAGCATGCATGTATATTGATGCACACACATGTACACATCTATGGCAATATAACTATACTTTATAGCAGCTGATTCAGAAAGCTCATGGAATTATCATCAGAGTGTTATCTTAAGTCAGCAGCGTGTCCTTGCAGCCAGAAGTGCCAACCATACCCTGGGGTGCATCAGACCCAGCGCTGCCATCGGGCAAAGGATGAGATTATCCCTTCTGCTCTTTGGCCCCACCTCAAGCACTGCATGTAGGTTTGGTTGCTGCAACATAAGAAGGACTTAAAAATATTACAGAGCATCCAAAGGACAACAAAGATGGTGAAGAGTCTGGAGGGCAAGGTGTATGAGGAATGGCTGAGGTCCCATTGATTTGTTCAGTCCAGAGCATAGAGGGCTGAGAGGAGGCCTCATGGTGCAGCTCCAAACTCTGCTCTCTGTGACAGCAGCAGGGCCTGAGGGAATGGCCTGGAGCTGCCTCAAGGGATGGTTGGGGGTGGTTAGGTAAAGGCTCTTTGGCAGAGAGCAGAGGGCATGGCCACAAGCTGCTGGAGTTCAAGGGGCATTTGGATACTGCTCTCAGACATAGGGTTTGGATTTTGGGTGGTATTTGTGGTTCCCTTCCTGCTCAGAATGTTCTGTGATTGTAGGACTCCATGGAAAAGTGAAGCTGAGGGAACCCAGCATGTGGGTATTACCAAACCTACACACTGCTCAGTGCCTGGCATGGCACATGGATCAGGTCATTCACCCACTTTTTTTCCATTTGCAAGGCTTGTGATTGTTTCCACTTTTTGTTCTTATACTCCAAAGTCAAGTGAGGCTTCAGAGAAGTATGGTGTGGCTCACAGGACATTACAGAAAGCATGTGCGGAGGTATTTATCAATCACTGCACATGTTCAGAAAAATAGAAATGCTTTTGTAATGCTTTCAGGTTGTGCTGTTCTTTCATTATAGCACGGACAGGAGCTCTGGCAGTGCATACTGAGTGATGGAAAGCAAACTGGAAGACGTAGGAAGTTTTATCTGGCTTGGTTGCTAAAAGGAATATGAGACAGATGGGAGACGATGCCTATGAACTACAGCGTGAGGTGGACATTTGATGACCTAGGGCTACTTGACTGTGCAGCAGTTGCTGCCTGCTTGAAAATTCAGGCCAAAGGCCTGTCTGTAATATAAGCACAAAGCATAAGCACAGCTCCTGCTTCAGAGAACACAAAGTGAGCAAGGATGAACATGGACAGACAGTGATAGGAAAGAGAATGGTTTTAAGCTAAAAGAGCGGAGATTCAGGTTACATTTTAAGAGGAAAGCTTTCACGCAGAGGTGAGGCCCTGGCACAGCTGCCCACAGAAGCTGTGGATGCCCCATCCCTGGAGGCACTCAAGGCCAGGATGGACAGAACCCCAGCCAGCCTGAGCTGGTGGGGAGCAGCTCTGCCCACAGCAGGGGCTGGGACTGGGTGGGCTTTGAGGTCTCTTCCAACCCAAGCCGTTCTGTGATTCCGTGCCCCTCTGCATCATCGCCGTCCCGCTACTGCCCATCCCGTGCAGCAGCAGAGCACGATCAGCCAGCGGCAATAGCGCACCAGCCCCTTCCCCTCCCTCCCGAGCCCGGCCGCGCAGTGCCCATGTGCGGACGGCCGGACATGCTCACTGCGAGGCCGCCGCGCAGTCGCTCCGCACATGCTCACTGGCCGCGGAGCACCGCCGGAGGTAGGGCTCGCTGGCCGGAGCCGCTCTTCCGCTCCGCGCCATGCCACGCCGCCGGCTCTCCGACTGCCGCCGGCTCTGAGCGCGGAGTACCGGCGGCGGCTCCGGCCCGGACGCGATCGTGCGTGGCGGTGAGCGCGGGGCTGCGGCCGCGTGGGCCCCGCCGGTGGAGGCTCCGCGGGTGGGGCGGCGCGGCGGCCCTGTCAGCACCTCGGCCGGCGCCCGCCGGCGGCGGGGCCGGGCGGGTGGCCGGGGGTGGGGGCTGCCCGAGGCCGGGCCGAGCAGAGGGGGGCGTCGGGCTCGGTTGCGGACGGCGGAGCCCCTCCGTCGGTGCTCCAAGTGGCTTTGCGAGGGGATGGAAATGACCCTCCGGAAGGTGAGGGAGAGGCGGCGTTACGGGTAACTAAATAAGTGGGAAGTGCAGCTGGTGCTGAGGGATCCGTGAGGTCTCCGGCCTGAGGAGGTGGCGTTAGAAGGAGCCAAGGAATGGAAAATAGCACACACCCAGGGTGCCGAGTGGATGCGGCCCTGGGCTTCCCGTTTAGTGCTGACTCTGCGTCTGGAGTCCTTGCAAAATAGTCGCTGATGTTTACATTTCCATCCGTGAGATCGAAAGCGTGGCCCTTTCTGATCTGTTGAAACTGTTAGTTTTTTTACGTGTGCCTAGTGCTCTCAGTTCTCTGTCTTGGTAAATGACTGGTTGGTCACATTTGGCCATGTTTAATGCAATTAATACGTGGTATTTTTAGAGATGAATTCTACCAGGTTTCTGAGGATTTTGAGTTGGGTACCCTTTGAAGGTCGTCTCGTTTATGCTTTAAATACACTGAAGCTATCTTGCACTTAAATCTGTTTCTGGCTGTGATTCTTTTAACTTTAGGAAACTATCTGATGCTCAGAGAATTACCTAAATTAGTTTAATATCAGATTCACATCTCAGCAGACTCTCTCCCATGACGGCTAAGATGAAATATAGAATCATAGAATGACCTGGGTTGAAAAGGACAATCATCTAGTTTCAATTCCCCTGCTATGTACAGGGTCATCAGCCACCAGACCAGGCTGCCTGGAGCCGCATCCAGCCTGGCCTCGAATGCCTCTAGGGATGGGGCATCCACAGCCTCCTTGGGCAACCTGTTCCAGAGTGTCACCCCTATATAGATAGATATTTTTAATGAAATACTTGCTTACCTTCTGTACTTGTGTTCTCATTTGCCCTATATAACCTTACTTACATAAACCTATTTATTTTCTTTTGCCGTAGACCAAACATTTCTCTGAACTCTAACCTTCAAGATGAAGTTCCTGCTAGCGGTTTTCTTCTTTGTCTCATTCTCCTTATGGGTGGAAGAAGTCTATTCCAAAGAGAAGTCTTCAAAGAAAGGAAAGGGAAAAAAGAAGCAATACCTCTGTCCATCGTATGTTCCATGTTTCCTTTATATTCTTGCTTTATCAGAATTGTGCTATATTTTAACGCTGAAAATGAAATGGCAGTTGACAAGGAAGATGGTGGTGTCTGTTGAGAGATTAGTTATGGGGAGTAGGAATGAGAAGATGAGGGGTTGACCGGTGACATCGCTGAGTTCTATCAATGAATTTGTTTCTTCTACAGCAGGTAATTTATTTTAATGAAAAGCCTAAGCAGTAGTAAACAGATTCTTAACAATGATTTGAAATGTCTGTGGGGGATTCCAACCCTGTGTCTTGCTATTTATGGGCAAATAAATTTATTCATTTCACACTAAAATGAATAAATTTACTCACTTTCTAATGCCTTCTGTGTTTTATGTTGCTTGATAAGATGTATGGGAACTACTGGGTCACAGCCTGAACCTCTGACTGATCACCTGAGGTGAGCCATGAGTCAGCCAGAGGAGCACAGGTGAAGGCAATTCACCTGTGCTGCATGGCTGCACCCCTCCTAGACCTATTTAAGAGCTGGCTACCAGTGGGGAAGGATCTCTTCTAGAGATCCCTCCTTCTGGTGTTTTGTGAGTGAGCCCAGGATAGGGGTAAGCCTTCCATTTATTCTCTTTTGTTACCATAGTCTGCTTTGCCTAACTCCGTTTATTTTGTGATTATAACATCCTAATATTCTTTGATTATACAACCACATTCATTCTCATGTCTGAAGCAGATCTCTTTCTTATTTTTTATGCCCTATCTCCAGTAACATAATTGTAATGCAGAAAAATGGAAACAGTAATCAGTAGGCACCCAGTCCCAAACATGCTTAATGTCAGTCATAGAGCAGCTGTAACACCTTGGTTACACCACAGTGTAATAGTCTGCTTTGCCTAACTCTCGTTTATTTTGTGATTATAATATCCTAATATTCTTTGATTATACATAAGATGATGCATGCATTTATTTTTAGGGGGCCGTTTTTGCTCATTTTCATGGGCAGTGTTGGTCATCTTTTTATTGGTGTCGTGTAAATGTGAAATGTAGGTGCAGCATTATGAGTTTCCAATGTGTGTAAAGAGCACTGAGCCTTAAGTCCTAAAGTGACTCAGGCAAATCTAAACGCCTTTTAACTGTGACTGTGAAAGAAGACTAGAAGATGAAACTGGCTAGCTAGCAGTAACAGTTTTTGCAAGGAAAAGAAAAAAAATAGAATAACAATAATGAGGCAACGTTTGAAGGGTACTTTTAAAGTTCCCATTCTTTTTAAATGCTGATATTGACGTTGATCTGTAAAGGCAGTTTTTTAGAAAATTTCTACATGTGTGTGTTCTTATTATTATATCAACCTTAAAGATGAGACATGTCTTTGGATTTGAAAACATTACGATACAGGACTCAAATGTGACACGACTCATTTGAAATGACCCACATCCATTCTGTTTCCTTTGAATAGCTGAGTTCTGTGCAGAGCATTCTGCTTGAGTTAATATAAGGACTTCTGGCAATGGGAGAAATGTCATGGTTCCCCAGACAGGCATGAGCACTCAAGTCACTGGATAGTGAGTTGCACAGCTGGGAGCAGAGTCCAGACCTGCTATGGTCTTGTGAAAGCAGCCAGCGCTTCTCTCTGCTCTTAACTTGATCTTAATTACACTTCTGAAGCACAATATTTCCTGTTACTCTGTTCTTGATACCAGTTAGTTTGGAAGTGTACAAACGTGGCATCATTTGTCACCACTAGTTGAGGTGAATAAATGCTCTAATTTTTTAGGCATTTTTTTTACTCTGTGACAGTGAAAGCTTTCTCTGATAATCCCAGCAGGCTCCCATGTTTGATTGATGTATCCACATGTAGAGTGCTGCTTGTTAGAATTAATTGCTGTAGTAGTGAGTAACAAACAAGTTGTTGGTGTTTCACTTGGCTGAAGTTCACAGCTTGAGACACAGTCAGTTATGGTAGTGGAACTGCAGGATTGCTGGCTCTGTGACTGGCAGCAGAACCCTTAGGTGAGTGAGTGAACAGTCCAGGTGAGCTCTGTCCTCTCCTAACTCAAGCTGTTGATGACAAACTTTCAGCCACTGGCATGTTCTAATAACATTTCACAAAGCCTGTAGTTGGTGACAGTGTGAATTGTAAAAGAGATGGCTGATTCTTAATGCTTTTTTCCTATGGACAAAGAAAGGGAGAAGTCTCCTCAGAAACAAACCAAAATCTGATGCAGTAGTGGAGTGGGAATTCAGCGGTGAGACCGAAAATAGTCTCAGAGGAAATGGTTGGATAAAAAGTTCCCTAGTAAAGCACGTTGCATCACTTGTGTGATTGAGTGGTGCAAATTCCTAAGGAAATTTTAAGTTAAAAATTTTAATCTGCCTTTAATTTATGTTGATTACTAGTGCAATACAATTTAAAGCTTTTCTTGTAAAAAAAAAAAAAAAAATAATGCCTCTTGTCTATTTTCAACATGCAAAAAACTATTTTCCTGAGGAGGTAGAATTTAAAAACCACTAGTAATTATATAAGAAACAAACTTTACAGTTATGAAATTCAACTATGTATGCAGATAATTTTTCAAGGAAATATTTGTGTCTAGTCTGATAATACTGTTTGAGTTCTGTGGTTTGATGTTCAGAAATGGGTGTTGTTGGGGCTGGTTTAGGTTTTGGAGTTGAGCGTGTTTGTATAAGAAATGAGCACACCTGAGCTTTTACTTTAACTCATATCCAGCACATGAGTCTGTAGCTGAATGTGCACCTCCGGCATGAAATTAACTATTAAAATAAGCTGAAAACAAGTTGATCAGAAATCCCATAAAAAGTTCATTGTTGTCTCATAAACAGATATTTGCTTCCTTCGTTTAGGAGAATACTGTTTTGTATCTGAGAGCAAACACTCTTGTGATTGTTTACAGTTCTGTGATTCTATGATAAATGCCATATTTCTCTGTACGCTGCGTGACAGTGGTTCAAAGAGCCATCTTATTTTTATTTCTTTCTGGAACTGTTTTTTTTCCCCAGCTTTTGCTTTAGAGAGGTTTCATGAAGCTGATGCTTAATCACTTGTTTTTATTTTAATCTAGTGCTTCCTCAGACAGATGTAAGATACCGCATCAAAGTTTTGATCACTTTTTCTAACCTCAGGCTTTTCAAATTGAACAGAGAGTAATTATGCTTGTCTGATTCTCAGATGTTCGTTGATTAACTAACAAATTGATATGTTGGACCTAAAAGTTCACAACAGGGAGTTTTTCACATAAATCTAGGAAGCTCGTTACTGCAGATGCATAGTGGAATATAATATGGAGCCTTGATGAAACAAAAGTCTAGCCTTTTCTCTCCATGGAAAACATTATTAAAAAAAAAAAAAGAAAGAAACAGGTATAGCTCTTGAAGAAAATCCTTTAAGAATTCTGTAGATTAGGTTACAGAGCTTATTTTGAAATTCACTATACTGAATACAGCTGACTTGGTATTAGGCACAGGTGGATTCAGACACTTGATCTATTTCTTGGTCATAGGCTGTCCACCAGCTGTATTTCCTCTGTTATTTCCCATTTGGAGGTTACTCCACATTGCTGCATTTCTACAAGTTGTTTGTCTACAGGGTCTCTTCAGAATGGAAAATACAAGCCGTGAAGTGGCACTGAAGGTGACAGTGAAAGAGTGTTCCAGCTTTAAAGTCTAGAAAAGGATAGGGAATGGGCAATTGTACTATGACTTTGTGAGAGTGTGCCACAAAGGTTAGGCACAAGTGTGACTGCTCTACGTTTCTTGTTGATGTGAGTTAAGCCTATCTGAACACTTCAGGCAGTTTTGATCAGATAAACATGGGTATTTTGTTTGCCCCAGGCAGAGACGGCCTTTTGAATGTGACTTCCCTTCCAGTACTGGCATTATTTTGAAAATGTTGCCAGATGGCAGAGGAGGTTTAAGAAGCTGCTCCATTTTAGTCACGGTGAGGACTGATGTTGAGAATAAGATGTACAGACAGACATGTTTGGGATGGAAGATGTGTTCAGAACAGATTTTGTCTAATGTTACCGCTTTCCCTTAGCGTAACTTCCTCATAATTCCTCATAATACCTGTTCCTGGTAAACATGTTGGACATGCAGCTGTGGCTTTTTCTAAGAGCACTGCTGAAGAACATTTTTTCCTTTTTTTTGTGTGTCATAATAAATTCTTTAGTTATGTTACAGCGTTGCAGCTGTTGCTGTTATCCCACGGTCCTTGGTAACCCAGGACGTCTCTCTCAAAGCCCCTTGCACAATCTCTACACAAATTAAATTATAAGCAGAGGGAAGTTTGGTTGCAGAAGGCATAGAGACATGTGTCCAAAAAGCAGTTAACAAAATCAGTTAGCACCGTGCTCACAGTCACAGCTATCCCTGTTAATTACGGTTTTAGTGTGACTCAGCTGTTCACCTGCACACTTTTAGTTGCTGATGGTCCCCCAGAGAGTCTAACAGTCAGAGTATTGCCTTGGTCTCTGAATCTCATTCTTTCCCCTTGATCTCAAGACTATGTTTTTATGTAGCGCCCCTTCCCACCTATATGCATTTTCCCACACGAAGGTTTATATACACATAGGTGATTAAATGCACGGTACCCCTAGAGACTTTCTATCCACAGAACAGGAATACAAGTTGTGTTTTGGGCTGTATTCAGTAAAGCATATCCTTTACTGCAAAAGCTGTGAAATGGCCCTTAAAGCCGTCCAGATGGCGCATGGTTTGTGCCATCAGCCAGGGTAGAAGCTTATAAAGGTCACAAATGCCAAGGTTCAATAAACAGCTCATTTAAAAACAAACAAACAAGATGGTGGGACTGAGGCTTTGTATGTGTTTAAAGCATAGATTTGTATGAAAGACTACTCTGTACATTTCTCTTGGTTATCTGGCAGCTTCTGACAAGCTCTTTCCATAAACGCTGAAGTCAGTCAAAGTATTCTACCTTGGATCCTCTCCACTGTCCCATGAACGTGGAATTTGGTTCTGACCAAGTGCTTGGGTCTAC